CAGTGGTGGTTCACACCCGTCCTCAGACTCACCTTGTGGGTGAGCATCCCGGAAAATGCAGGACAGACCTTGATAGAGCAGTCATGCCTTTCAAGGGCTGGGCATGATTGCTGTGGGGGAGGTAACTTTACCCCGGGGGGCTTGCCCTGATGTTGAGTGGCAGGAAAAGGTCTCCCCCAGAGGCACTGCCCTGGACTGTTAAATTAGCAGCTCTCCCTTTGGGAAGCCGCAGGAGGAAATGGTCTCCTCGGTGAATGTTTATTCATCCCTGGCTTCCCTAGCATCCAGGCAAATGCTTATAGCACATTTCCACTCAGCCTGGGAAATGTGTTCTGTGCTCAACATAACATGGAAAAATCAAGCCATAAGAGACATCTGAGAAGTGTGTGGACCCATTTAAAACTACTGTAGGAAGAGCCCAAGGCCATGGATTAGAACTGATCCACAAGTAACTCTTAGTAACCGGGAGGGCAATTAGGCCCTGCAAACCCCTTGCAGAGGGGAGCTTGAGCGGTGGGCCTGGCCGCCAAATCAAATGTCTTGGGTGTGGCGTCCGCGTAGGACAGAGCGACCTGCAAAAGTCGGGGCTCTCCCACTCTCATGGAACGGAGCTCCACTCAGTGGTGATTCCAGTAGATCCAGAAGGTCCTGGGACAAGCACCCTGCCCTGTGGACCCCGCGGTGAGCTGGAGCTGGGCTGGGAACCTCCGTGCCACCCTTACAAACCTCGTGTGTTTAGGCTTGGCTGCACAAAAGAATCTGAAAATCAGTTGAATAAGTTATGTTTAATAAGTGACCATATCTCATCCTCAAATTAAGTTTCAGGGTTGTTTAAGGCACCCAATCATGCTTCGCTCACCAAGTACTTCCCTGTACAGAAAACTCAGGAGTTTATTAATAATCCTTTACATATATGGATTTTTTTTTTTTTTTTTTTTGCCTCCTACCCTCCACTATCAAGGTGCCTCAGGGGTTTTGAATAGCAGACAACACAGAGAAAGTTGTGGCTGGCAACTCAAAGGTCATAGGCAAACAAACAGCATGTACTAGAATTGTCACAAACTCCCACTTTGTTCTCGTCGATCTGGGTTTTACTCCCTACTTACCTCTGTGTGACTTTGGGAAAGTTACATAAGCTTTCAGAGCTTCAGTTTCCTTGACTATACTATGGGGATCCTGGAGGGATCTTCTTCATGGGCTCGTTTTGAGGTTTAAATCAGAGGAAGTGTATAAACTGCAGGGCACCATGCCTGATAAATGTATGCCCTCACGATAGGGCAGGTGCAGTCAGCAGATGTTATTTGTCTCCTGAGCTTCCCACGAACTTTGTCCTGCCCGCCTTCACTTCCTGTCTCCCCAGGGAGACGCGGGGGCCTGGACTGGGAAATTGTCTCTGCTCAGCCAGCGCCCGGCACTGAGCCTGGCTCTTCGCTGCTTGCTCAGTGTGGAGCTGTTGAACAGACAAATGGATGACCAGCACCCCGAGCTTCCCTCCATTATATTGCCTGCAGGGGGAATGCAGTGATAACACAGTGAAAGCAGGACCAGGATCGGTGTTAGTGGATTAAGGGGTGGTCTCATGCATGTTCGTCTATGGCTACCTTCAGAAGTGAGAGTGGATAGGGCGTCTGAGTCCACAGATGCTCATCTGAGCAGGAGGTGGCCTTGGACTTGGCCTTCCCACAATGTCAAATGGTTTCCTGCTCGGAGACCTGGAAACTGAGATACTAAGCTGTATATGGATTTTCTTTTCTCCATGCAAAGGCACAAGAAGTATCTCCATGTGTTTTGACTGACACAGTAGTATGAGGCCCACACAACTGAAAAGAAACAAAAACAAAAAACCTACAGTTTTCTTAGCGTATAAAAGCAGGAGTTCCTGGAAGTTTTGCTCAAGCTTTGGGTGTTTCGGTGGCTCCGGCTGTGAATGCCACGGGAGCAACCACTGGAGACAATGGAGTGGGCACAGCCCAATTCAGAGCCCTTGGCAGCAGGTGGAAGGAGGAAACTCCAGTGTAGATGCTCAGCGCTGGGCTGAGCCTATCTCTCTCTCTCTCTTTTTTTTTTAATTTTCTGAATATATTTTTTTAATATGAAGAAATTGAAATTAGAAATTAAAAATTTAAACAAGTATGCTTTGGCATGAATAAGCAGAATGTTTCAGACTTAGATGTGTCTGAACATAGCATATATTCTAATCCATATTTGAAATTATTAAAACATGACTAGCTGGAAGCTAAACTTCAGTAAGTTTTTATTTTTTATTTTTTTTTATTCTTATGTTAATCCCCATACATTACATCATTAGTTTTAGATGAAGTGTTCCATGATTCATTGTTTGTGCATAACACCCAGTGCTCCATGCAGAACGTGCCCTCCTCAATACCCACCACCAGGCTAACCCATCCTCCCACCCCCTTCCCCTCTAGAACCCTCAGTTTGCTTTTCAGAGTCCATCGTCTCTCATGGTTCGTCTACCCCTCCGATTTCCCCCGCTTCATTCTTCCCCTCCCGCTACCTTCTTCTTCTTCTTTTTTTTTTTCTTAATATGTATTGCATTATTTGTTTCAGAGGTACAGATCTGAGATTCAACAGTCTTGCACAATTCACAGCGCTTACCAGAGCACATACCCTCCCCAGTGTCTATCACCCAGCCACCCCATCCCTCCCACCCCACCCCCCACTCCAGCAACCCTCAGTTTGTTTCCTGCGATTAAGGATTCTGGGCTGAGTCTATCTCTTGATCTCCATCTGGGCTTTGGAGGGAGGTGTTTTTATCAGCCCTGTTTCATGCATAGAGGTGCTGGCACCAGGAGGGTAAATGATGAGGCTGAAGTCTGAACCTAAGATGGGCGGGTTCTGAGGCTGCTCCCCTACGCTGCCCCCAGAAGGACTTGGTCTCAGCGGACTGTATCAGGGACCCAGTGGGGGTTCTGAGCCAGCCAGCCCAGCCACCCAGAGCAAACCCCAGCACTGCCAGAGACCCAAACCCAATTTACTAAAGAATTTTCTTTTTCCTCCCATCCCTCCGAGCTATGGATTTGAGCATAAGTCCTTGATTCTTCATTTCCAAGAGCAGATACTCTGATAAAATACACGTGTATTTTATAGAATTTGCCAAAGTCAGAGGTTATCCAAAGGCCAAACAAGATTGCCTCCCAGGAGTAGTATTTGAAAATAGTTAATTGGACCTTTGGGGTTCTACTCAAAAGGAAGGACAGATGAAGAAGTAGGTTTAAACCTCAGCAAAGTTCATCCATTTCTACTTGGGGGTTCATTTCCCTTCCTTTCTCTCTGATAGCTAGATTTGGTCTTCTGAGGTTACTCTGAGCTTGTTAAACTGGCAATTCATTCTTTTTCCTGACAATGGAGAAAAGTAATATTGATCGCCATATGGATAGAAAGCTTATTCTTAGAAGCTGGATCCCTGCCACAAAGAAATGGTAGGTGATGAAGGCGGAAACCCCAAACCACGTGGCTTATTTTTTGGTGTAAACTCCTGAAATGTCTGAAACTTGATATTGTTTTTAGGGGGAGCCAATCAGAGGCTGCACTACTCAGTTAAGATCCTTTATGGCGGGGGGGCCAGGCTTTTTGCTGCATTTCTAATCATAAAGCAGGGTTTTGTTTCAACAGTCATCTCTGTAATGAGCTATTCACTCATGTGCAGCGCCTACTTTTGGTTACTTGATCCAGAAAACACCCCTACATTCGAATGGTCAGCAAGCAGAGTGTTTGCATGTTTCTCTGTGCCTAGCAGCATCTCTTCAATCATATTCCAAGAGCCGGCCTTGCTGGGGGGACGGCTACCGCACCTCCATGGCTCTGGGGTCTCACGCTGTGCCTGGCCACATAGCCGGCCTCCCAGAGGCTCATTGACTCCATAAATAATTGAGTGACTGCTCTTTTTGGCAACACTTCCTTCAGTTAGGGAATATGCAGAATGAGTGGACCCATTTGGATTTTAACTCAGCTCTAAGAAATTGGTCAAGACGGAAGGGATGATGATTATGGGGGTCAGGTCTGGCTTTGCGCCAGTTGAAGTGTGCTTCACTCCACTTTGGGTTATGTTTCTCCAAATGTCCCTGGCTTTAGGGCGGGCCAGATGACACCAGGGGACCAGTCCTCAGGGGATTCCTCCAGCTTGAGTCTTTGAAGCCAGGAGCTCAATGAGTCAGACTTCCATTTCAGATTTCCGTGGGATGGACCACCAAACTCACAGCTGGGCTCTGGAAGCAAGTACTGCCCATGCCCCAAAGCTGGCTTCCTCTGCCCGCCAATTGCTTGTTGCTTTCTTTCCAGCATGTTCTGGTTCAGAGATGGCATTAGAGCTTAGGAATCAGACCCATCTAGATTCAAATTCTTGCTCTGGACAAGCGACTCAGCCCCTCTGAGCCTTGACTCTCTCCTCTAGAATACGGACTCCACTCTGGTGTATGTCTCAAAGTGTGTGGTGAGAGGTGATCTAGACTGTTCTGCGACAGTCCAGCACCCCGAACTTGTCTGTCAGTGCCCCCTCCCCGTCCCCTCGCCTGTCTGCCTCTTCTTCCTCTCTTGCTAAAGTGTGTGACATTCTCATCAAGGGACAGCTGGGAGGATGTGTGAGGAAGCCTGTGACAGGCCAGCCTGGACACTGCTGGGGACGCCTGTGCCTGCAGGCGGGGCTTGGAGGTTATCACACGAATCCAGGCATTAGCTCTGTTCCCCCATCAGGAAGCTTGGCAGGTTTAACTTCGTCCGGACGTGGCTGATTGCCGTGCCCTCTTCTTGGTCCCCTCGAAGAAGAATTCTTTCCGTATTATCACTCTCTTTATCCATATTTACTAGAGGTTGTTTGTTCTAACATTTCAAATGTTAAGTTCTTTTCCCGTTTTAATAGCCCCTTGCGATTAGTTTCTGAAACCCCACCCTGTGGTTACGTGCTTAATATTTGAGGAATTCACAGATTTCCAAAAATTGCTAACAGTGGGGAAAATAAAAAACAAATTCTTGGCCCCACCTACGATGACTCAATTCATGTTACCCTCGGTCTTAGCTAGGGCCGGAGCACGTGGTGGTCAGCAGGCTGCTTTCCCTGAGGTCAACTAATTCAGTTTGTGGCACACCACCAACTGGCAACAGGGATGGGGCTCCAGCTCGCCCTACCGGCCCTCAAGGGCTTCCTGGAGGAGGTGGAAGTCCTTGAGGGACCTTCATCAGAATCTACCCCACATGCTTCTTCGAGGCAGCTGTCCACTCTGTTCGTCCCTGAGCACCCAGAGCCTTCAAAACTCCATCTCGATGCAATCTCAGGTATGGCAGAGAAGGGACAGCAAAGATCAGGCACCACAGCCACCTGGGAGCACCTGACACAGACCCACCTGGGAGCACCTGACACAGACCCACCTGGGAGCACCTGACACAGAAGAGAAGAGAAGACACAGAAGGGCCTGGGTTTTGTTTCACTTGCGGGTTCTCCATCTCCTGCTGTAGTTTTCACCCAAAAGGCACTGGGGGGAGGGCAGCAGAACCTTTGTACAGGAGACTGTCCCGCTCATCTTGGTGTCTTCAGGGTCCTCAAACGTGCCCAGCACGCAGAGGAGCCCTGAGTACCTGCTGGGATAAGGAACGAATGAATGAGACCCGTGCCCTTTGAGAGAACAAAGACTTCACTCATTCAGACACAGCTGACTGATTTATGCACTTTCACGAAGCTCTCCGAAATTTGGCCAAGACTTACCACATCTAGCCTCAGGGCAGGCTGCGTTCTTTGAAAGCAACTATCTGCAGGTTCCCTAATGAAAACCAAACAACGTAAATCGTGCCAGGACTCACCAGCGACAGCTCCGGGGAAGCAGGCTCCTCTCTAATTACTGGCAGTGTGTCTGCGGGGAGCAGCCTCGGCGGGTGGTGGGGCCGAGCATCAGACGGACCCGCAAATAATACCAGTCATCACAACAGACCCTGAGCTGTCAATGCTGTGCCTTCCTGAGTCCTGGGAATGTGGCGTGACGGGGACGATGCTCCAGACGGATGATGCGGAAGCCTCCGAACCGACCTCAGGCTGCTTCCCACGCCCACCTCCACCGCAGCACCCGGCAGGTTACTTTCAGAAGAAGAGACACACAAAATACTATTTTGAATGGTTCCGTTTTCCTACTGAGAACAAAACTCACAAGTCAGAGTGAGTTACTTTTGTTTAGCTCTGTGGCTCATGGAAGACGTTAGCTGTACTGCCAAATACTCTTACCTAGAATGACTCCATTAATCACTAAACCCTGCTGTCCATCCTGGCGCTAAAATGGATTTTTACCAGCAGGAGCCAAAGGCGAGCTTTGGGTGTTACTTTAGTAAGAGAAACCTCATGTGCTGTTTGGCTAAAGAGAAATGTTGCCATTTTGGTCACCTGTGTATGGGTGGACCAGGCTGTACCCTCTGAAAACATCGCCTGGGGATACTCATTTTACTGAGATAACACCCAGCCTTTTAAGAGGTGAGGCCAACTTCATAGATTTTTGGGGGAAAAAAAAAGGTTGTTTTTCAAAAGTCCTCAAATGACATCATAACCACTACATTAGAATAAAAACCACCGGATTTAATGAGGGTTTTCTGAATGATTTTTTTGGTCAATTATGTTTGAATAAACGGGAAAAAGCAAAAATAGAGCACTGAGGGGTTAGGTATGAAAAATCCACAGACCAGATGAGTAGCTGCCCACAAAGGGGTCCCTTTCCCGGAGCCGCAGCTATGGGGGCTGGGGCGTGGGGTCGCAGGGGGTGTGGGGGCATGGGGGGTGCGCAGCAGGGGGGCTCTGAGACCGGCACCCCAGGGTCGGCACTAACGGAGACCACAGCTGGACTCAACAAAGGGTAGCAGGTATCTTTTGTCAATGGAGGAAAAATATTGTATAAGGTGAGTTTTCATTTACCTTGTGAATTTTATCATTGGGAACACCTGGCCACTCCCCACCCCCCGCCCGGGGATTTACACTTGGAGATTTATGATGACCAGTCACTGGCATCTGGGGCACAGAGCACTGTCCCCCAGGGCTGTGTGAGCCACGGTGCCTGGCTCTGTGGCCACGTTTCCTACTCTCTTAAAGGGACAGTTTATCAGTCATTCTCAAATGTATCAGTGGGCACATCTTTCCATTATGCACACAAGTATAGATTTCCCAACATTTATTTTTCTTCTGTACTTAGAATTCTTTCGTATGGCTGTTTATAAGACAGTTCTTTTTTTCCTCATGTGTCTGAGCAAATACCATGGTGGAAATTTATGGAACTTTGAGAAGAAGGGTTAAGTTGAAGGTATTTTTGCTTTGCTCTGGGTCAGTGGTGCTTAGGAGGTGACATTACATAGCAGAAGAGGTTTGAATTGAGAGTTTGGAGGTCTGGGTTGGGCACTTTCTGCCCAGACAACCTGTCCCAGCTTGCTTTTCTGGAATAAGCCTGGGCAGCATGGCTCCCCTATTTAAGGATCCAAGAATTTATTGGGGGGTGAGCAGAGGGGAACTGCCAAGTTTCTAAAAATGCATTTTGTCCTCAAGAAAACCAGTGAGAAATTTAGCAGATGATTCAGGGTGGTTAAATATTTTTCTCCAGACATTATAGTTCCTTTGGGGGCTCCTTTATGGAATACCTGTAGCTTAATAAGGCCCAGGAGAGGGCAAATGACTTATTGCACAATTTAATTAATCAACAGGCATCTTATCCCCTCTAAGGGATTTCTTCCCCCAAAACATTGGGGGAAGCATCCAACGGTACAATGAAGCACCATGGAAATACCATATCATGTGTCTCTAGGACACATCTCCTCGGCACATCTGGGAAGCTTTTAAACATTTCAGAAAGCCGCTCACATGTAAGAGAAGCCCAGGATCCTTGGAGGACACAGTGGCCTGTGTCAACTGAGAAAAGAATATGGTGTTAGATAATAATTATAATTTCCAAGATTCACGCCTCAATACAGCTGTCACCCCTAAACATGCCCAAGGCGTTCTCCACCAACTTCTAGACCATCACCAATTTCCTCCCTGAGAAGTTTAATAAGGAAAGAATCTAATGATTCCAGACTGTTCTTTTGCCTGGATGAGCCTCCAACTGGGCCTCCAACCTTGTGGTCCCAGCTTCCTGAGTGCACTCCTTGGCGCAAACCAGCCTTGCCTTCCCTCACCTGCTCTACTGCATGCCGGATCCAATATGGTAGCCAAGAGCTACCTGTGCTTATTTCCATTTATGTTAATGAAAATAAATTCAGTCGGTCAGTTGCACCAGCCTGTATTAAAGCATTTAGTTGCCATGTGTGGTTATTGGTTCTCTCACCGGACAGTGCAGATTTCTCAGCCATTAAAAAAAAAAAAAAAGAAATCTTGCCATTTGCAACGACGTGGATGGAACTGGAGGGTATTATGCTACGTGAAATAAGTCAATCAGAGAAAGACAATTATCATATGATTTCACTCATGTGGAATTTCAGAAACAGAACAGGAGCATAGGGGAAGGGAGGGAAAAATAAAATAAGACAAAATCAGAGAGAGAGACAAACCATAAGAGACTCTTAATTATAGGAAATAAACTGAGGGTTGCTGGAGGGGAGGGCGATAGGGATGAGAGGTATGGGGTGACTGGGTGATGGGCATTAAGGAGGGCACGTGATGTAATGAGCACTGGGTGTTATATGCTGAATTACTGAATGAATGAATTACTGAACTCTACCTCTGAAATGAATAATACACTTTATGTTAATTAATTGAATTTAAATAAAAATAAAAAAAATAAAGAACATTTCCTTCATCATAGAAAGTCCTACTGGGTCTTGCTGCTCCCTGAGTCCACACTGCACATCCCCAGCCCGGGGTTGATAAACACATCCCCATCCTGTCCCGTCCCAGGATAGTTGCTGCTGGAGAAAAATCCCAAGACTGTGTAGACTGGTGCCAATCATATGGATGCCTTTTAGTGCAGGTGGATTCCCCAGACGCTTCAATTATGCCCTTCTTCAGAAATCTCGCTCTCCCTTCCTACTCCTACTCCAGCCCCCACCCCTGTGTCAGGGCAGATGACCTTGCCTGTCACACCCTGGAGAAGGAAGGGCTTGCCCTTAATCCCCTTTGGAATGTCCACCCCCCACGCACCGCCCTGCCCTTCCTTCTTCCCAGGAGGCTCACTTACTGCCTCTACTCCTGACCCTGCAGTGCAGTTCCCCTCTGCTCACCCCCCAGTGCAGTCAAGGGCTTTGCTTATGGTTGTTTCCCAAATGTGCCCATTGGTCCGTGCAGCGCCCCCGTAGCAGTCTCCTGGGGCTGGCTTAACCAAGTACCACAAACTGCCACTTGAAAGCAAAAGGCATTTGTTCCAAAGTCCTGGAGGCTAGAAGTCCAGAGTCAAGGTGCCAGCAGGGCTGTGAGCTCTCTGGAGACTCTAGGGGAGAATCTGCCCCTGCCTTTCTCTCTGCTTCAATCCTTGGCAGCCATCCCTGGCATTCTGGGCTTGTGGATGCATCCTTCTAATCCTCTGTCTCCACACAGTGTTCTCCCTGTGTTTCTGGCTCCACACAGCTGTCTTGTCCTGAGGACATCAGTCCTGCTGGACTAGGGCCCACCTGCTCTAGTGTGACCTCGTTTTAACTAAGAACATCTGCAGTGAGCCTATTTCTAGAGAAGGTTACGGTTTGAGGGACTGGGGGATAGGACTTCAAAGTACTTTTTTTGAGAAGACACAATCTACCCATCACATCCCCCAGATTCATGATCCCATTGCCCTGTGCCCCAGGGCGTGACCCCAGTAGCCTGGCTCCTTGGCTGTGCATTCTCGCCCTCGGTCTTTGGATGGGTTTGTCTACAGGAGCCTCCAGGAGATAGGAGGCGAAAGGAGGCAGACATCAGGTCTTTCTTTCTGTCCCTCCCTGGGTCAATGCTGTAGTTCTGAGAAAAACACCATGTCCTCTAATGCATGACTTCTTTTTTCTTTTTTTAAGATTTTATTTATTGATTTGACACAGAGAATGAGAGAGAGAGAGAGTGAGTGCACAAACAGGGGGAGTGGCAGAGAGGGAAAAGCAGGTTCCCCGCTGAGTGGGGATCCCAACGCAGGGCTCAATTCCAGGACTCCGGGATCACGACCTGAGCTGAAGGCAGATGCCCAACCAACTGAACCACCCAGGCACCCCTTCTTTTCTTATTTTTAAGATTTATTTATTTCTTTTAGAGAGAGTGGAGTGGGGGGAGGGGGAGGGGGAGAGGGAGAGAGAGAGAGAGAGAGAATCCCAAGCAGACTCCGGGCTAAGCTTGGAGCCTGACACAGGGCTCGATCTCACAACCTTGAGATCATGACCTGAGCCGAAAGCAAGAGTCGGGGGTTTGATGGACTGAGCCACCCAGGCGCCCCTCTAATGCAGGACACCTTCCCTTCCACGGTTCCCATTCTTGCCTGATGGGGGCATCACTGCTTCTTGCTCTCTTGTGTTTGGGTCTGAGTGTTTAATGACTGCCCTTGGGTGTCTCAGCATCCCTTTCAGTTCCTTTAATGCTGCCCACCGTTCTCTCAGTATTAAATTCGGTCCACAGTCCCAGCTGAGTGCCATATGTTTTCTGTTGGATCCTGTAGGATGCATCATATCCCAGCCATACACTGCTACTTCTTCCACAAAAGCAGTCTTGAGTTTCTCACATGGTAAACACGCTCTTTACCAGGAACAAAAGGAAACCGAAATTGTCAGATCTTCCCCGGACGCCTGGCGTCCTGAGCCTGCTGCTGCATCTGGTCTGCCCTTCACCCCCAAGCCTCTTGAAGGGTCGCTCCTCTTGCTGTGTCCACAGCTGGCCCTCCCCCGGCTGCGTTCAGTCCGGGCCCTGGCTTTGTCCCTCCTGCTCACAGAAGCAACCTTTGCTTTGGGCAGGTAAATGGCCTCCCCCGGGAGTGTCTGCTGGAGTAGGTGCCCCACGGAAGCTGCTCGCTGCTCCTTTGCTTCTTCGCAGGGGTCCTCAACCACAGGTGGGGCTGGAATGACAGTTCTGGAGGCGGGAAGTCCGAGATCGGGGTGCTGCGGGGGTTGGTTTCTGCGGAGATGGTTCTCCTCGGCAGGCGGCGTGCGGATGTCTGTCTTCTCGCGGAGTCCTCACCTGGTGTTTCCTCTGTGCGTGGGCATCCCTGCTGTCCTTCGGGGGGTCTACAGTTCTTCTCGTAAGGCCACCAGCCAGACTGGAGCAGAGCCTTCTCTGACGGCTTCGTTTTAAGTTATGTGCCTCCTTAAAGGCCCTATCTCCAAATGTGGCTACCTTCTGAGATACAGGGGCGAGGGC